TTTTTTTTTTAAGTTGTGTATGCCTTTGTTTTATTTGTTTATTTTTATGTGATGCTAAGGATCGAACCCAGTGCCTCACACATGCTAGGCAAGCACTCTGCCACTGACCAACATTCTCAGCCCAGAAAATATACATATTTTTATAAATAATTTTTATATATTTTTTAAAAAATGAATAGACTTAATTTTTTAATGTAGTTATAGATTTATAGAATCAGCAGATAATACATAGTTATGTTTATCCACCCCTTACTAACTTGCAGTTTCCCCTTTTATTAACATCTTGCATTAGTATGGTACATCAGTTACAGTTATTGAACCAAAATTGCTATTATGACAAATGCATGACCTATATTCATCTTTACAGTTTTATACAGAGTAGTCACTGCCCTAAGTAAGAATCCTCTCTGCTTCACCTATTCATGTTTCCCCCTATTAAGCCCTTGGCAACTATTACCTTTTATTTATTTTTTTTTAAGCTGCCTATCTAGTTTTGCCTTTTTCAGAATGTCATGTAGCTGGACTGGCTTCTTTCACTTTGCATTGTAGATTTAATTTTCCTCCATATCTTTTCATGGCTGGATGGCTTATTTTTTATCACTGAATAATATTCCACCATACAGATCAATTTGTTTAGTCATTCATCTGTTTAAGGAAATCATGACTGCTTCCAGCTTTTCGCAATTATAAATAATGACTGCTACAAACGTGTCTGCAAGTTTTTGTGTGGACATAGGTTTTGAACTCAGTTGAGCACTGGCTAGGGGTGGGCATTCCTGGGTCATATGGCAAGACTATGTTTAGCTTTGGTTTAAACTGATATAAGCTATCAGCATTCTGTCTTTTAGACATATATGCTTTTAAGAGTCAACCTAATTAATAGTCTGGAAGGAAATACTCTTAACTGTTAGCCGTAAGTAGTTAACCTTAGAGATTAGGAGGAGGATCTGTCATATTTATTGATTTATTTTGTTATTTTAATTTTTTATAACAAATCTTATTGTATAATAATTGTGTAATTTTTTCTCTAAAATGCTTTAATTTATAGTAAAAAAATTAATGAATCAACACATCTGAAAAGAAGACTATTTAAAATAGTATATCACATTTATAGAGGATTTTAATATTTTATTCTTATTTTTTAAGTAAAGAGAATAATATCCTTCTTCTAGTCATAATTGTCTATTTAACAACCTTTTAGAACATTTACCAAATAACATAGTCTTTCAAAGGATTATGCCAGAGCTAAGCAGACACATATTTAATCCAGAATTGAGATACCAGGCAAAGCTTCCTGGAGGAGGTGATAACTAAACTGAGTCATGATGAACAAGTGTAAGGTAAAGGGAGAGAGGAGTTATGGAGAGGAAGGAGAGTGTATGACAGAGAAGACAGTGTTTTCAAGCTAGAGATAGAGTCATTTGCTTCTGATTAATCTGACTAAAACTAGAATTAGTTTTCCCAAGCTTTCAGAGAAACAGATCTTTTCACATTGTTGACGCTTGTTTGATAATCTGAAATTGAGAAGTATGCACTCATATTTTGTTTTGGTTTTCCAGTGAGTGGCAGAATGCATTGTCCTAGTGCTTGTTTTACTAGGAAAACTGGAATAAATTATCGCCTAAAGATATCTTGTTGTTGGAAATGTATTAGCATCAATCACTATCATAATGAGTTCAGACCTGAAATTTAGAACCTTGAATGGTTTGACTATCACTCTTGGTGAGAGTTCTTATGTTACTTTGTTGTGCAACCTAGGCTCTTGCACTTAATTCTTTCTAATATGTAAAGTTCTTTACATCCACAGATGTTTTTCTGTACTCCATGGGATTCCAGTGTAAACTTTTACATAATCACTTAGGAAGATAAGGAAAGAGGGAAAGCCTCATATGTGTATGGCATTTCAGCATAGAGGTGGCTGTGTTTACTAGATTAGAATATGGGTTCATAAAAAGAACAATTAATTGAGTCATGTTATCTGATTGTTATCCCAGTTCTTTAAGGTGAATGTTAAACATGTTGGAGTGTTTTTTTTTTTAATCAAATTTACCTCTTAAGATTATTTTTTTAAGACTGTAAATGTGCACCTGGCATGATGGTGCACACCTATAATCCAAGCAACTCAAGAGGCTGAAGCAAGAGAATCACAAATTCAAAGTCACCTTCAGGAATTTAGCAAGGCCCTAAGCAACTAAGTGAGACCCTGTCTCAAAATAAAAGATAAAAAATAGCTGAATGTGTGGCTTAGTGGTTAAGTGCCCCTGGATTCATTCAATCCCTGTACCAAAAAAAAAAAAAAAAAAAAAAAGACTGTAAATGTGCAGTAGTTCACATTCTGTTACAATGAAAATCATCAGAGGAACTGTTAATTTAATATAAAAAATGATTATTACACTGTTATGCATTTTGAACAAAAGTCACCACTGAGATCTGTTAGATGTTATATAGTTAATATTTTTCTCAGGTATCTGTTGCATATTTAAAAGTAAAACAAAATTCTCATGTTTGAAAAGGAGTACTGAAATCTTGTTATCAGAGTTCATTTCTTGCATTCTAAATCTGATTCTTATCCTTGACGGCTTAATGACATTAAATAGGTCATTTGATTTTACTGAACTGAGTCTTTGTGTTTAAGTAAATTAAATAATGTATATGAAGAATCCTGCAAACCATAAAGCATTACAACTATAATTGCTGTCATTTTTTTGGAATTTGCCTTCTAACACATTTTATAATCCTCTGAACAAGATTACTAGGAGGTCACTGATTATTCTATAATTTTTGGCTCTATTTTATATTGTAAAGTCTCCATGGCATATGAATTTTTTATATGTACATGTCTTTCTATAACCCAAAGGAAATTAAAATATTGAAAGATTTTAAGAACAAGGAATGACCTGAGGCTAACAGACAATCTTTTTATTTAAAAGCAAGGAAGAGAAGATGGTGGGAATGGTACTGAGGCCTTCTTACCCTATTTTACTCTGTTTACCACAAAAGATAAGGGAAACCTGAATTGCTCTTCACAAAATAGTTGAGATTTCTACTGTAGATTTTGTTCTTATTCCTTTCTGTTTGTGTCTTTTCCTTCATGTATTCCTCTCCACCATTCTGTTCTTTTTTTTTTTACCCTTTGAATGTCATCCTAAAAGTGTCTTCCAGTGCTGTCTTCCCTATTTTCTTTGTCACTCTTCTGTTCCTTTCTCTTTTTCTCTTTTTTCCTCTAGTGATTGTGACTTATTTAATCCCATAAATAATACTTTCCTATTTTTATTGCATTCCTTATTTTTTATGTCAAGTATGAAAGTTGACATTCAATTCTAATAGTAAAAAAAAGTTGTAAATTTTATTTTCACCTATGGTGTATCACTGAGCACAATGAAGATAAGAACCCATAATTATGGTAAGAATATAATGGCACAGTGCTTTTAGACTATTTTGATAATACATGTTGGCAGCTTAACAGTTTTGATGTAAAATTCCATATCTTAGCTGGGTATGTTGGTACTCTCCAATAATCACAGAGACTTAGGAGGCTGAAGCAGGAGAATCTCAAGTCAAAGTCAACTTCAGCAATTCAGCGAGATCCTAAGCAACTTAGCAAGGCCCTGTCTCAAAATAAAAAATAAAAAGGGTTGGGGATGTAGTTCAATAGTAAAGCCACCCCTGGGTTAATAAATAAATAAGTAGAAATTCTATGTCTTAGAATCCATCTGAAAGAAATAGGCTTAAATAATGAAAAGGTAGCCTTAATGAAATAAAGGGGGGATGAGTATATGGACTATTTTATAGTCCTTCAAAAATTACATGTAGCATAGAGAAAGTACATAACTTTTAAAAACATAAAAAGTTTTTACCTACAACAGATCATGGCAGATAATGTATTTAACATCCAAGGTTGATGAAAGTATAAATGCACAGCTTTTTAGAGCAATATGGCAATAATTTCTATTTTAAGTCCTCATACATTTTGACCTAACAATTATATAGACATCTAGGTTGATAAGCTGATATGTGCTAAAATATTTTTAGGGCTAGTCATTACATCACTAATTACAGTAGGTCTGTCCATGATACTTTGTGAAATGGCAAATGCTTTTCTAAGAAAAGCATTTGTTTGAAGGAAATTAGGCTGCAAATATATACAAAATTAAAATGTTTATCCCTGTATTTATAATGATAAAATAATATTAAAATTCTAGATGTCCAACAATAGTAAATTGGTTAAATAAATTATGTATTCTGCCAGTGAGAAATTAGGCAGCATTGCTAGTCATTTTGTAGAGGACTACTGGAAAGGTTATTTTCCATACACACATATACTCATGTACATGCTTATATGGTGGGGAGTGGGGAGCATGTACCCTAAAAGTTTTAACTTTTTTATCTGGGTAATTTTTCTCTTAATGACTGGTAACTATGCTTATAATATAAACAAAATTATAATAGGTTGGTTTTTGTTTGTTTGGTACATGGAAATTTTTTAACATAAATATTCATGAGGTACATGTAATGATTTGATACATGTATGCATTGTGTAATGGTTCAAATCAGGATAAGCATATCTATCTACTCAAACATTATTTCTTTGTGGTAAAAACATTCAGAATTCTTTCTTGTAGATTTTTATCTATATTCCATGAATTATACTATGGAACACCAGAACTTACTTCTTCTAACTATAGCTTTTAAAAATTATTATTGAGAAAAATTAACCCAAGTGTGAAGAAAAGACTTGTAAGAATTATACCCTTAGTTTTATTAATAAAACAGTAGCTGTTTTTGAGTGGTGGAGCTACAGGTAATTTTTTAAATACTTTTGTGCCTTTTCTACATTTTTCTTTGGTGGGAAAATGAGTACACTCATTTTATTAGAAATAAAGGTTTTGTTTTTAAATTTTGTTAACACATCATTGATAAGTAATTAGCATAATGCAAGTAATACTTATGTAATTAACGAACTTAAAATTTGTGTGTGTGTGTTTTTATTTCATTTTTAGGCCAGAAATGTACATACAGGAGAGTTAGCTGCAGTAAAAATCATCAAGTTGGAGCCTGGTATGTATTAAAACTCTTAAGACTTTTTTTTTAAAAACATTTTCTTGTGCATTTCATAAAAAGCATAGTCTATGTCCTTTATGTTTTCCTTCTTCTCCAAAGAAGTCTTTATGTGTTCTGGCAGGACAGTATAATGTCTTCAGTATGGTTTTATTAAATTCCATTGGAGGTCATTAAAGTTTCGATGGGACAGTTCTGTTGCTAAGTAAAATTTAAAATGTATATATTAAAAAATTGAAATATGCACTTACTGACAATTTTATAAAAGTAATTTTTTTCACAATTATAGTGACTATTTTAGCTTAGTTTTAGCTACTGTGAAAATTTGATTATAAAAGTCTTCCATGATATTTTAGGGATATTCAGATAATATTCCAGAAAATGCTATTTCATCAGCTGTTCCCTGGCTGGTTGATTTAGGTTTGATAATTTTGATCTTAGTTTAATGCTTATTTTATAAACATATCTATATATCAGAAGACTCTTTTAAAACACACCAAATAATTTACTTTGGAAAAAAACCTTAATTTTATGCTTTTGATTTTTTTTTTTTTTTTTTTTTTTTAATATTTATTTTTTAGTTCTCGGCAGACACAACATCTTTGTTTGTATGTGGTGCTGAGGATCGAACCCGGGCCGCACGCATGCCAGGCGAGCGCGCTACCGCTTGAGCCACATCCCCAGCCCGCTTTTGATTTTTTAAAAGTTTTTAATATGGGAAATAGTAGTTTTTGACCAGGTAGGTGTATATCTTAGTGATCTGTTTGATTGCAGCTTATGAACTGAGACCTATGTGACCATAATTATTCCAGTTTCTTAACTTGAGCAGTTAAAATGGGTTTTGTACTTCAACTTTAGATGATTATGTGTTTGATTCATTAGAAAGATTGTATTACTGAGGCAGCATATGCTGGAACGCTTTAAAATTAAGCTTTCAAATATGACACATCCTTTTACCTGACAGATAAAAGTTGTTATAAATCTATTTTAGACTCCTGTTACAGAGTTTCATTTAGTAAGTATAGAATGATCTCTAAAATGTCACTAACACAAATAGAAGGGAATATGAGAACAGTACAAGCAATTGCCTCTCCTGGAAGAGTCACTCCAGCAGAAATTCAAGTTATGTTCAAGAGGTGATGATAGTCCAGATTCTGGTCTGGGCTCTCATAGGAAACAAAGATCTCTTCTGCCTTCAATGAGTGCACTGGGCTTATTAGAGCAGTTTTACTTATTTGACTTGAGTGTATGGCTTACTTTTGATTATAATTTATTTAATGAATTAATGAGTATGCTTTAAAAATCCTTTGAGTTTGACCTCTCAATAAACCATATATTGGAACTAATAGAGGAAAGACAATTCAATAAAAACAAGAAAAATACATCATATGTATGATGTTATTACTTAACATATAAAGATAAAATGCTGGGATTATAAGGTAAAACCCTTTGAAAGGCTTGAATTTCTCACGTCCTTGTTTTGTAAAAACTGCTGATTTTATGTTAAAGAGATCCCTCATATATGAAGATTGAATAATATTTAAACTCTTCCCCCCAAGAAGTTTAGTAAATGTTAATGATGTAATCTTAGTATTTGGCCATTTTTATATTCTGCTGATTGCCTGTCTTTATTTCAGGTTATTCGTCTTTTATTATTGCATTTTGGATGCTGTTTGCACTTTGAAAATAGAGACTCTTCATTTTAAGTTTCCCTAATTTGTCTTCTCTGTCTTTTCACTCCATTTATAATACTTGTCTACTTCTCTTAGATAAATTTATTAGTCTTGCTTTCTCTGTTCTCTTCTTCCCTGTAATCAGACTTTTTTTTTTTTTTTTTTTTTTTTTTTTTTAATTTTTTATTGTGGGTTGTTCAAAACATTACAAATTTCTTGACATATCATATTCCACACTTTGATTCTAGTGGGTTATGAACTCCCACCTTCACCCCATACACAGATTGCAGATTCACATCAGTTACACATCCATTGATTTACAAATTGCCATACTAGTGTCTGTTGTGCTCCGCTGCCTTTCCCATCATCCACCCTCCCCCCTCCCCACCTCTCCCCTCCCCTCCCCTCCTCTCTCTCTACCCCCTCCACTGTATAACCCTGAGGGTCTCCTTCCATTACCGTGCAATTTCCCTTCTCTCTCCCTTTCCCTCCCACCTCTCATCCCTGTTAAATGTTAATCTTCTTCTCCTGTTCTTCGTCCCTACTCTGTTCTTAGTTACTTTCCTTATATCAAAGAAGACATTTGGCATTTGTTTTTTAGGGATTGGCTAGCTTCACTTAGCATAATCTGCTCTAATGCCATCCATTTCCCTGTAAATTCTATGATTTTGTCATTTTTTAATGCAGAGTAATACTCCATTGTGTATAAATGCCACATTTTTTTTATCCATTCGTCTATTGAAGGGCATCTAGGTTGGTTCCACAGTCTTGCTATTGTGAACTGTGCTGCTATGAACATCGATGTAGCAGTGTCCCTGTAGCATGCTCTTTTTAGGTCTTTAGGGAATAGACCAAGAAGGGGAATAGCTGGGTCAAATGGTGGCTCCATTCCCAGCTTTCCAAGAACTCTCCATACTGCTTTCCAAATTGGCTGCACCAATCTGCAGTCCCACCAGCAATGTACAAGTGTACCCTTTTCCCCACATCCTCGCCAGCACTTGTTGTTGTTTGACTTCCTAATGGCTGCCAATCTTACTGGAGTGAAATGGTATCTTAGGGTGGTTTTGATTTGCATTTCTCTGACAGCTAGAGATGTTGAGCATTTTTTCATGTACTTGTTGATTGACTGTATGTCCTCCTCTGTGAAGTGTCTGTTCAGGTCCTTGGCCCATTTGTTGATTGGGTTGTTTGTTCTCTTATTGTCTAATTTTTTGAGTTCTTTGTATACTCTGGATATTAGGGCTCTATCTGAAGTGTGAGGAGTAAAGATTTGTTCCCAGGATGTAGGCTCCCTATTTACCTCTCTTATTGTTTCTTTTGCTGAGAAAAAACTTCTTAGTTTGAGTAAGTCCCATTTGTTGATTCTAGTTATTAACTTTTGTGCTATGGGTGTCCTATTGAGGAATTTGGAGCCCGACCCCACTGACTGTAGATCGTAGCCAACTTTTTCTTCTATCAGACGGCGCGTCTCTGATTTGATATCAAGTTCCTTGATCCATTTTGAATTCACTTTTGTGCATGGCGAGAGAAAGGGATTCAGTTTCATTTTGTTGCATATGGATTTCCAGTTTTCCCAGCACCATTTGTTGAAGATGCTATCCTTCCTCCATTGCATGCTTTTAGCCCCTTTATCAAATATAAGATAGTTGTAGTTTTGTGGATTGGTTTCTGTGTCCTCTATTCTGTACCATTGGTCCACCCGCCTGTTTTGGTACCAGTACCATGCTGTTTTTGTTACTATTGCTCTGTAGTATAGTTTGAAGTCTGGTATCGCTATACCGCCTGATTCACACTTCTTGCTTAGCATTGTTTTTGCTATTCTGGGTCTTTTATTTTTCCATATGAATTTCATGATTGCTTTCTCTATTTCTACAAGAAATGCCATTGGGATTTTGATTGGCATTGCATTAAACCTATAGAGAACTTTTGGTAATATCGCCATTTTGATGATGTTAGTTCTGCCTATCCATGAACAGGGTATATTTTTCCATCTTCTAAGATCTTCTTCTATTTCTCTCTTTAGGGTTCTGTAGTTTTCATTGTATAAGTCTTTCACCTCTTTTGTTAGGTTGATTCCCAAGTATTTTATTTTTTTTGAAGATATTTTGAATGGAGTGGTTGTCCTCATTTCCATTTCAGAGGATTTGTCGCTGATATACAGGAATGCCTTTGATTTATGCGTGTTGATTTTAAATCCTGCCACTTTGCTGAATTCATTTATTAGCTCTAATAGTTTCTTTGTAGAGCCTTTTGGGTCTGCTAGATATAGAATCATATCATCTGCAAATAGTGATAATTTAATTTCTTCTTTTCCTATTTTTATGCCTTTAATTTCTTTCGTCTGTCTAATTGCTCTGGCCAGTGTTTCGAGAACTATGTTGAAGAGAAGTGGAGAGAGAGGGCATCCCTGTCTTGTTCCAGATTTTAGAGGGAATGCCTTCAGTTTTTCTCCATTCAGAATAATGCTAGCCTGAGGCTTAGCATAGATTGCTTTTACAATATTGAGGTATGTTCCTGTTATCCCTAGTTTTTCTAGAGTTTTGAACATAAAGGGATGCTGTACTTTGTCAAATGCTTTTTCCGCATCTATCGAGATGATCATATGGTTCTTATTTTTAAGTCTATTGATGTGGTGAATAACATTTATTGATTTCCGTATATTGAACCAGCCTTGCATCCCAGGGATGAATCCTACTTGATCATGGTGTACAATTTTTTTTATATGTTTTTGTATCCGATTCGCCAGAATTTTATTGAGGATTTTTGCATCTAGGTTCATTAGAGATATTGGTCTGTAGTTTTCTTTCTTTGAAGTGTCTTTGTCTGGTTTAGGTATCAGGGTGATGTTGGCCTCATAGAATGAATTTGGAAGTTCTCCCTCCTTTTCTATTTCCTGAAGTAGCTTGAAAAGTATTGGTATTAGTTCTTCTTTAAAGGTTTTGTAAAATTCTGCTGTATACCCATCGGGACCTGGGCTTTTCTTAGTTGGTAGTCTTTTGATGGTTTCTTCTATCTCCTCAATTGATATTGGTCTGTTTAGGGTTTCTATATCCTCCTGACTCAATCTGGGCAGATCATATGACTTAAGAAATTTATCTATGCCTTCACTATCTTCTAATTTATTGGAGTATAAGGATTCAAAATAGTTTTTGATTATCTTCTGTATTTCTGAAGTGTCTGTTGTGATATTGCCTTTTTCATCCCGTATGCTAGTAATTTGAGTTCTCTCTCTTCTTCTCTTCACTAGCATCGCTAAGGGTCTGTCGATTTTGTTTATTTTTTCAAAGAACCAACTTTTAGTTTTGTCAATTTTTTCAATTGTTTCTT